GCCTAATTTGCAGCAACAATCGGCCGTTGCCGATTAATTAAAAAATTCCAAAAATCGGCCGATCAATCGGTCAACCTCTACAGTAGCTCATGATCCAGTGTCCTGGAGTGGCTCGATTTACAGTAAATGCTGTTTCACACAAACTTCTTGTCTGCAAACACAGCGAGTTTGGCTCACTTATAACATGCATTTAAACACAAGACGCACCAACAATCTTCCCACATTTGTAATAAGAATTGTTTTCAAATTTGTTGTCAACAAAAGAGATGATTTAAGGTCTACTGGTGTTTTTCTGCCAAAACAAAAGCTCTGTAGTTTAACATTTGAAAGAAAAGAAAATAAGACTGTATTGTATATATTGTAATTTTACTTTTTTTCTGTAAAATTAAATTAGGTATTAAATTAATTTAATTTTTCTTTATTGATTTGTTTGTTTTTAATCAATTCAATAATAATAAAATAAAATAAATTTTTAATAATGATTAAAATTATTATTATTGTGTAGCTGTATTAAATGGTGAAAAAACAGGTTTCCCTTTGTTTTTCGTGAAATTGTTTGTTGGTGTATTATTACCATCTTTTATCTTGTGAACAGTAATTTCACTCAGCCAGGTAAACTAAAGTTTTCTTACTTTTGGCTCATCTGAAGAGAGTAGCAGATCATGTAGTTTATAGAGGCTGATTAATCTGAGACTGAGCCTCAAACTAAAAACTACAAATTTGGGCTAAGCTTCATAAAAATAGACTGATCTAACAGACTGTCCCATTTCTGGTTAGAACAGAGCAATGTGTGTGATCTTGGGCATGGCTGTGTTTGAATTGCTGGATTGAGTGACTGTGATTTATCATTTTAGATGATGAGGAGGAACATCTACTTGTTGACTGGTTCACTCTGATTCATGAAAAGCACTTACTGGTACGGAGAGAGGCTGAACTGGTCTACACGTAAGTGCACTATTAGCATACGTTTGAAATGCTGTAACATCTGTAACAACTACATTGACATTGGCCCCCCTTGTGTATGTTATGGTATCCATTTGCAACCTCTCCAAAGAAAACATGATGCAAAACGATCTCAAACTTACATTTATAGTTGAGTAATACATATCATTAAAAATGTTGGAACATCAATTTAATGACACTACAAATGCTCACAGCTAGTCCTAGAGAGAAGGATGAGACTCTCTTTACCTGCAGAACCTCTTTCTGGGAAAAAAATAACTTTATTTGCACGCCCTAGAAGATGAATTAGGAGATGTTGATTGAGTTTGCATGGTTTTTACAGTTTACATGTTAGGCTCTTCTGTTATTTATTTCTTTTGTAATCCTTTCAAATGTTCTGTCAGAGTGTATCTATCAGTATATCTGATGTCTGTTCAATGAAGTTTCAACTTAGGCTTGTTTTACATATAGTGCATAAGTTGTCACCGTAGACACACAATGCATGAGCGTCAAGTGAACGTTTTAATTTGTGGCACCATTATTAATAGATTACAGCATCCAGTACCAAAGCAGCAGTATGCGTTTAAGTTTCGGCATTCACGCAGAAGTCGGCAGCTCTGACCGCTCTAGAAAATAAAAATGGCATGAGACTAGAAAATTCAAGAAAGCAAATAAAAAAACTTTGAACTCTGAATGTACACAATTGAAGCAACCAACACTCTGCTGGTTGGAGATTTACGAAAGCCATTATAAAGTGAATTTGATCCTCATTCTTGTGTACATAAGATTCCACAACAATCAAGTTTCAAATAGTTATGTACATGTATAATACTTTTTTTAAAATGTATAATTTTTATGCAGCCACACTGGTGCCAGAATGCTGCCCACAATTTGAGAACCACTGCCATAGCAAGGTGCTAGTTAACAGTCAGGCTCTTGCCAGTTCCTGTTCATTGTGCAGTCAATATAATAATATACAGTATGTCAACCTGATATTTTCAGGATCTCTACACAGAACAATGGAGGTCAGTTGGGTTAAAGTTAAATATGAAACAGGAATAAATCTGTCTGATTATTGTCTGGATTTTAGAGCCAAGCAGCAGAACCTGGAGGAGAGGCAGGCCGATGTGGAATATGAGCTTAGATGTTTACTTAACAAGCCAGGTATGAAACAACACAAAAGCCTTTTCTTTTGAGTAAATCCTCTTCCTTTCTTTTAAATATCAGCCATTTTTATTCCATCTCTCCTTTATATCTCTTTCTCAATTGCTTACATCTCTGATAGAGAAGGAATGGACAGCTGAAGACAAAGACAGGGAAAAGCAATTGATGGCAGAACTTGTCACGATAATTGAGCGGAGGAACCAGATTGTTAACAGCATAGATCTGGACAGACAGAGGTAATCACTCAATGCAAATGCACTTTGATTCAGAGCTCGAGTTTCTCTGCTAAAATGGTACACTGTAAATGTAATATGAAATAGAAAGTAATTTTGTCATTAGTATCAAGTTTAGATTCTCTTTTTGAAGAGTTCATCAATTTCTTCTTTAGGGAGGAGGAGGAAGACAAACTAGTAGCTGATATGCTAAAGAAAAAAGGTCAGTGTTATTTCTCTTTTCACTGACTCTCTCACTTCACACCTCATTCATGCTTTGATTCTTGAATTTCTTTTCAGAGTTTAATGGACCGGGTGAGCAGAAGAAGAAAGCAGGGAAGTTTAAGCCCATGAAGGTTTTGAAGAGACTGAGCACCAAGAATGAAGGAGTAAAGGACAACAGTCCCCGAAAAGAGAACAGCTGAAGAGTAAACTTACTGAAGGAAAAAGAAACAAAAAAGATATACTAAAAAGATTTACTAAATGCTTTTTAAGTCTAATTAACGCTTTTGAATATATTGCTATAAAACAGAGCTCAAACTTGTCTTTGAGGTAGTAGCAGCTGAACTGATATACTGCACTACTGCAGTACATTAAAGTCAAAAAGTAACACTGTCTTGGTCAGATACGAAAATTATTTTTAATTAAAAACAAAAATCTTGAAAGGCTCAACCAAATATATAATCTTACTTTAATCTCTATATTACATTTTGAAGTAAAAGAAAACTGATACTGAATGTGATTAAGAATTTTAACATACTTTTCTTTTAAACTCATCGTTAGTCATAGGAAGAGCTCAACAGGAAGCCCATTAGATAGTATGACATTTATTTTTGCCAAACTTAATTTAATCTTGTTCTCTGAGTTTATATTTATTTATAAATGGCATGGAGGTACTGCTACTTGTGTTTCTGTTCACACTGAAGAGTTTAAAAAAAACAACAAAAAACACTTGTAGTGAATCTTTTCAGGCCACATTCAGCCCTTTCATTTTATTAACAAAGCTTTGTTGAGATGAAAGCAGAAATGAATTACCAATCTTGCAGTCTATAATATTGCTAAGAGAGTGAAATGCATTTCCATCTCATGAATGCTTTGTGATTTTTTTGAGTAACAGGGATTTGGTGTTTTTTGTCTGCCTGGGTTTGGTTGCACCAGCTGTGCTTAGTTTAAAAAAAAGAAAGAAGAAGCCTAGTTTAAAATGGGCATTGAGTTACAGTTTACACAGTATTAAATATTCGACCATTAAACTTGGTTCAAACATAACTGAACATAGATATATACAAAATATACACTAAATAATGATGGAAGCCTCCACATAGCAGATTTTTAAATTGCATCAATAAGCTCATGTTTTACCTGACAGAATACAGTGCTTTAGACATGTTTGTTTGTGTTGACATTTACATTTGTTTACATTTTTAAAAAGAGAATGTTATGTGAATAACTGACTTGCAGCTCTCCAGCACTTAAGCAGATATAAACCGCGCACCTGTGTATCGCTCTGTGCCAAAAACAAAAAACAGTATTGCCTCAGTATTTATTTATTGCTCCTTATTTTGTCATTTACAGTGTTACTTACAGTGTGATTTACAGAATAGTCTTAGAAACATAATTTTAGCATTAGTTACATGAGGCAAAAGAAATTGGAATCACCCTTAAGACGATAAACTGAAGTTGGCGCAGACAGCCTTGTGGGCAGCGTGCCAATATATTGCGCTACAGGCGTCCCGAGTTCAAATCCCAGCTCGGGGACCTTTCCAGATCCCGCCCCCTTTCTCTCTCCCCCACTTCACTTCCTGTCACTTCTGCACTGTCCTATAGTAATAAAGTAAAAAAACGCTGAAAATAAAGCTTAAAAAAAAAAAAAGGATAAACTGAAAATCGCACTTCTGCGCATGAATTTGAAAGCTGATGTTGAATAATTTAAGGTAAACAATGCATTAATTGTACGATTTACTAGCATCTGCTTTCAGAACCAAATTACAAAGAGTGTGGACTTTATGTTCCAGTTTAAGCAAGAACTCATGAACAGCTGGTGCAACCATACCCTGGACAACATTTTAATATACACATTAATTTTAATATGATTAATATTGATTTATACACCACCTGGCCAAAAAAAAAAGAAAATCATACTCTTTTGCTGAACCACCGTTAACTTTGATTACAGTGTGCATTCGTTGTGGCATTGTTTCAACAACCTTATGCAACATTCCAACATTTTTTGTATTCATTTTTGGCAGAGATCATGTATTGACAATGGGAAAGTCAACCCACTCTGTAAAGTCTACTCCAGCACAGTGAGGTTAAAGTCAGGATTCTGTGGTGGCCAGTTCATGTTTGAAAATGATTCCTCATGCTCCCTGAACCACATTTTTTCACAATTTGAGCCCAATGAATCTTGGCATTGTAGAATATGGCCACTGGATACATCTTCCAACATATTTAAGTAATAAAAAAAACTACACACTGCATCAGTTAGATTAAAATAAATATTGGCAAATATAACATGCCAGAAATGATGAATACTCCAATAATGATGAATCCAACTCCAAACAATGATGAATCCAAATCCAAAGTATTTGCTTAATATACTTTTAATATTGTTATAAACTTTGAAAATATTGTTAAATGATATTGTTATAACCCTATGATGAGAATTTTGTTTTACTGACAGGGTATTAGTTCACAGCATAACTTCATACTAGCAAAAGCTGAGTGTCAAATTTAGGTTAACCTATCTAAAAGTGTAAGAAACCATCAAACTTGTAAATTAACTTTGAGCTTGTTACAGACTGACCAGACAGCTGTTCAGTCTGAAGAATCGATGACAGGTGAACATTAAAATAAGAGTTAAGTCTAAACCCCTTTAATAAAAGAACAAAAAAATATATAAACTATAACTCAACGCAAACACACAAAATGTTAACTGTAAGGTTTTTCATGTTAAGCAATAATAGATGTTCCTCACACTTTAGAGACCCTGGAAGAAGATTATGCAATATTAAGTTTTAATTTAAAATGGTTTATTTTCACTGTAGAATGTCACATGTTGTGTGTTGGGCCTTAATCTCTGTAAACCCAAGCAGGAGTGTATTTCTGAAGGAGTGCCTTTAATCTATTTAATTTATGCATATGTCCTAGCATTGGCTGTTGAGTGTCTTTAACTATTTTGTTGACATTTCAGTTTGTGCGTCTTCTCCAAGTATTTGGGTGTTTAATTTAATTTATCAGATTTCAGTATTGTGCTTGTTCTGTCAGAGTGTATGTGTGCCTGATCAACTCCAAGGGCTTTCTGTTTTCTCTAAAACAGTCTGTGCTTTTAGGATGGAGGACATTAAAAATAAATCTACTTAAAAGAAAACCCTCTGAAGTTTTGACCTCTTTTGAAAGTAATTTTAATGCTCATAGATATCTAACAACTCATATTTTCACCTTCTCTATCTCTCTTTGCTTTGTTCCTTTTTTCCATCTAGCTTGAGTGTGCTTAGTTCTTCACTGCGTTTCCTGTCAATCTTTTCAAGTTCATGGATTTTCTGTTAAAAAATATCAGACAGTTAGCAGCAGTTTAGAACAGTTTTGATTATAAGACTAAAGCCGGGTACAGACTGCATGGTTTTAGTCCCGGTTTTTACTCGCTGACAGTTATGTGGAAATCGCACACAAATGCTTGAAATCTGAGGAAAATCAGTGTTAGTTCATGTGAGTGACAATCGTGTAGTGTGAATTATCAAAAACGCGATCTGATCCGTTGTGAACACAACAGCATCAAGATGGTATTCCAAACAGTCATGTTGTGTGAGAAGATCAGTGATCCGATGGCTTTGAAAATCAGGCAGTGTGTTCCCGGCATTAGAAACAGCTAATGACCACACAAGAATATAAAGATACATTAAAAAATGTGGACATTTAAGTGTGGTACCATAAAACGTTAATGAAGAACTTGCTAATTTCTCAGGTTTTTGAACTGAAACTGCAGGTGCATGTGAAACTGATGAAGGTTGGTGATGTTGCATGATAGTACTGGCTTCTATTGGTCAGCTTATGTGTTTGTATCTTTACCTGGGAAATCTCTGTGTTGATGAGGTGTTGGTATTGGTGACCTTTTCCCACTGCCATCATGTCCTCTAAAAACTGCCTCCTCTCCTCAATATCATCCAGAACTGTTGGTAAGAAATTACATAATTACAGTTTCCATGTTACCATGAGATGCTGATACTGAGCTCCCATTATAATGTCTTTGTAAACATGACTCTCTCCGTACCCCTCTAAATTATAATAAACTGAAAGCACGTCAATCTGTGGCCACCACAATAAGGAAAGAAAATTTAAAAATAGAACATTACTTCTATCGAAATTATTTACTTGTAATTATTAATAAATACATTCAGGTCCCTTAGATGAGATGGATTCGAAAGAACAACTTTTATATACTGCCTGTCTCACCCTCTTGGAATCGATCTATCCGTTGCTCTTTTCTCTCTGTGGAATCTCTTTGGTAGTGAGTTGGCCGAACATCCTTTTGACCAGTAGAAAAAAGATTTTGTAGCTGTCTCTTCTCTTTCTCTAGATCTCCTAGAAAGAGAGACAAATCAGCAGAGATGAATAGAAAAGTCTTTCCTGTTACCCTTGAAAACACTTGCATAAAACAAGAAAAATGTATGTAAGCATGTATACAGACAAGGCACACTTGATAGCTCACACTGATGATGACCATGGATACATTTTAATATACTGTAATACAAAAAGATTGTCATTTTCTATATAGTTCTTATATTGGGGTGAATATGGGTAAAGTAGGACATATTTATACAAATTTCCTTAACTGGTTATAAATCATTATTACTACATTTATCTTTGGGAAGCATTTTGTTACATTGCTAGGTTTGTATGTTAATGATCTCACATTTAGATGCTGTGGCAGAGTTAACCACAGACAGGAAAAGTAATAGTACGAAAAATGACAATCTCTAAGACAATAAGTATAAGACAAAAAGTTTAACATTTTTAACTACTTCAATGTGTTAATGTATGCTGATTTAAATGAATATATTAATAATTATTTAAGCCTGTTGCAAACAAAAACAAAATCAGCTACATTTAAGAACCGGCCCCCATCTAACTTGAGAGGAAAAAAAGCGTCCCACTTTGACACTAGGTGTTGTAAATTATTGTATTGTCTCAAAGAAATGCGGGTTTTGATCAAAGGAGAGCTTTCAAAGATCTTTTTCCCAGTAACTCTAATTTCTTAATTTTTACTTTTGATAAGGTAAGATATCTTAAGCTTAAGACAAAGTTATTATGTCATGCTATGGTATTTTAATCTTAATTAAAAATAACATTTCTCATCAATATTCACCGTTTTTTGCACTTACGTATTGCTTTAGGCTTGAACTGTTCTCGTTTGTAATTATCTCCAGCACAGCATCTTTCTGCACTGCGTCTCTGCTGCTGACCAATCAGTGCGGTCACTCTAGTGACTCTGGGCTCTGACTGAACACTGGGCACAAGCGGCGTGAGATCAAATGCTAGTGGAAGAGCGCCGCCATCTGCTCAAACAAAAAATAGTGTATTAGGCATAAATTATGAACTCAGCTGTTATGACAGTTGTAGGATATTATAAAATCTGTCACCTGAACTCACTTTTCAGCTGATTATTGATCTGCCTCTGCTGAAAGTCTGTTAGACGAGACTCCTGCATCATCACTGCAATGAAACAAACCCACAGGTAGAGCCATAGAAAAGATAAACTAAAAGGAAATATGCATTAGTGCTGGCATGCATTACCACACACACACACTTTGTATTAATTGTCGTGTCTCTGTTCTGTAGTGATTGACTCTGGGCTCCTTATATTTTGATCCGCTGGCCATCATTCCTGCAAAACAAAAACAATTAAGTATTCTAGACAAAGAGAGCTGACGTTGGTGTTTTGGGCATCAATACACAAGCGGGTTACTCACGTTACCTCACATAAACGAGAAATAAGCAGTGAACGCAAAAGAAACCGAGTAGTTGCTATGGTAACACAAGCAAAACATACAAAACAATCAATCCAGCAAAGCACAGAGTCTCAAGGAAAAAAACGAAACTACATGCGTAGAGTGTTTAGAGTTGCTTTTGAGATGTGAAATTCAAATAGATTGCGATCTGGTTCAGCAGTTTTGTAAGGCTCCATGTAAATGTTCTCTGTCAACTCATGTTTCGATCCTGTGATGTTCCTCTTCGCTTTATGGTCCATGATCGGGGACGAGTGCACAAAAGTGTGACGTTTCCAGCGAACATCTAATCACGTGAAACGATGACAGAGAGCAAGCACTGGTCACTTTTCCGCTGAAGATCAATATATCATTATAAAGAACACGAACTATTTGAAAATATATAAACTGTAAATAAAGTATTTTATACTAAGTAAAAAATATTAAAACAGTAAGTTAAATAAGGGAATTAAAAGTTGTCAAAATCCGTTTGTGGCATTAGCTCTGGCCCTATTCTAAAAGGCACACACAAAAAGCAAAATTCTGTTATTATTTACTCACTCTCATGTCCTTCCAAACCTGTATGACTTTCTTTTTCCAGCAGTATAATCATGTACCTGAGGTTGCAGGTTCAGGACTGAATTTAAAACCAGATTATCTATTTATCGAGGTTAAGTTTTTACCTTTATTACATCTAATACAGTAAAAAAGTAAATTTAAAAGTAAGTATACATCAATAGCATAAACACTTATAATTGAATATAGTGCTATGAAATAGTATAAACTGTACATACAAAAACAATGGTATGGATTGTCTCGGCAAAGGAGAAGTGCTCACTAACACAGATTTAGACAGATTTGTGAACAATATTTGAGAGAAATAGGCCTTTTCTGTACATAGAAAAAGTCGTAGATCTTTGAGTTCAGCTCATGAAAAATGGGGGCAAAAACAAAAGTGTTGCGTTTATAATTTTGTTCAGTGTATATATATATATATATATATATAATTTAAAAAATGCATACTAGGGGTTCTTCCCATTTTCTTTATTTCTTAGCATTTTAGCTCCCTTAGGCTGATGATACAAGGGGCAATTTTTTTAGAGCAATGTTAATGGGGACTTTCCCCATTGAGAAAGGGTGAATCTGATACTTTAGATCAGTTGTGGGTCCCGTGTCTCTCCTGGTTGCCCGTTGACAGAAACATTGCCCAAAGTTGCCCACAAACATTGCTCAAAAAGTTGCCCCGTGTGTCATCACATTTAGGAGTCAAGGGAAGGATGTAAGGAAAGGAGGAATAGAAGGAAAACTTGTTTGTAGCCTATATTGGAATATTCTTGATAGCTCAAGCGTCACTTCAAAGCTTCATCAGCTGTTATTATGTTATATTAAGGGGACATTTATTTATTAACAATAAAGATTGTGTTAAAGCAGCTTCACAGAAAAAAAAAACAGGAAACTCAACTATAGAGACAATTCAGATTCTGCTGTAAAGCAGCTCTAAAAGAGACAATGCTCTCATTATTCAACTCATGCAGGTCAGTTCAGTGTTGGTTCAGTTCAGCTCAATAACATGGATGGATATACATGCGATGGCGCCGCAGACGGCTGCCTCAGTGTTTGGCTCTCCAGTGCCAACTGTTTTTGTTAGTTTTTCCTGTTTTTTGTTTCTCATATTATCTGTGTGTTGTTGTTGTCTCCGTGTACTGGAAGCTTGTGACACTATAACAAATTCCTTGTATGTGCAAACATACTTGGCAATAAAGCTCTTTCTGATTCTGATTCTAACAGTGTGAAGTTCATTAGTTTGAAACAAATTCAGTTCAGCTATAACCAGCTCTACAAAAGCAGTAATGTTGTTACTCAGTTTGAGTCAGTTCAGTGTTGATTCAATTCAGTTTTGATACCAGTGTCGGTGTTGTAAATGCAATTCAGCTATAAAGAAATTCTACAGAAGACAATAGTGCCATCATCCAGTTTATTTCAGTTAAAGTTTTGTTCTCATCCGATGGTGTCAGTCTCTGTGGTCATATTGATAAATTACTGAATGTGAAGTGTCTTTCAGACCCCAACTAAACAAGCCACTGTTCAGTTCAGTGTTGGTTCAGCTCAGATCAATAACAGTGTGAAGTTCATCAGTTTGAAGCGAGTTCAATTCAGCTATAAGCAGCTCTACAAAAGGCAGCAATGTCGCTATTCAGCTTGAGTCAGTTCAATGTTGATTCAATTCTGTCTAATACTGAATTCTAATGTTTCCCGGGCTAGAAGATAGAGCGAGGAAACTTCTCCATCTTCCAGACCGAGGCAGAGTTGTCACCTTAAAGAGACTAAGTACTGAAAGAAAGAAAAAATCTACATGTATGGGTGACCTGCGAGTATGCACAGTTAAACCCAATTTATACTTGCACAATCGAATGCCTCAAAGTATTCTTCATTCAGTGTGCGCAAACACAGGCGGTCAACACATGCACATTTGAAATAATTATACAGAGAATGCATGGTTGGAAAAAATGGGGCTTTGCTGATGACAAAATTTGCATCATGTGCACTGAATGCATACTCTAGTGCACACAAAAACAAAAGTGTGAGTGCGTTTTCACTTATGACTACATCTTCTTGAGTTAATGTCATAATGATTGCAGTCATTTGGGGCACTTTTTATGAGAAGTGTGCTTCATGCACAAACACTGCCTGCAAAGTCATTAGCTGATAGGGCAGCGAGGCTACTATTCAGTTAGCTTTCACATGCAGCCTAAATATAAATAGACCATGGCCAATTCCCGCTGCCAACGGGATGTTTAAGAGTTTCAAGAACACTCACAAGAGGGTGCAACTTGAATGGTCTTTGTCTCATTCATTTCCCTCAGAGAAATGAGGTTACAGTGGGTAACATGCTATTTTTAAATGTGCTGTAGAAATAATTATGATTGATTGAGTCCCTAATCAAATATACCTGACTCAAATCATCAGCTTGTTAGTAGAAGCTCCTTGACTTAAAATGTGCACATCAAAATGCAATTATAAATGCCATTTTGCACCCTTAAAGAGCACTGTGGGAAGGGGATAAAGTGAACTTCCAAATTAAAGTGAGCAAATTAACACTTTTATAAGGGCCCTCCCACAAGGCCATATATGTAATGGTCACTTCAAGAAAGTAATTTTATCATTGATGAGCATGTTGTCCTTAAAGGGGTCATATGATGCGATTTCAAGTTTTCCTTTCTCTTTGGAGTGTTACAAGCTGTTCGTGAATAGATAAGATCCCTAAAGTTGCAAAGACTAAAGTCTCAAACCCAAAGAGATATTCTTCATAAAAGTTAAGACTCGACCACGCCTTCCTAAAACGCCTCGTTTAAACACGCCCCCACATGTCACATCACTGTGTGGGAAGATTTGCATAACACCGCCCAAATGTTCACGCAAAGAAAGAAAGCATAACTTTGATTCTCGCTGTAGTATTGTTGCTGCCACCGACCATTTCATGGAGACACTGTGTGTTTCGTTGTGAAAGCTAAACTACTTTGTTTGGCCTTCCAAAAGAGGACACAACTAGAAATCAGTGGTTAAGTTGTATTTACAACACTGTTCCAGAACAGTT